TGCACCATCCCTTCAATCGATATAAAACCTATTGAAGTCATAGAGTAGCTACACTCCCGCGAAACGTTTGGGCAGTAATGTGCGGTTGGGCGCCCCGATTTTCCCGATGCTATCACAGCATATCGAGTGCTTTGATTGGATGTTCTGCGCGTCATGCGCACTACTTGTATCAACGGTCCAACTCCATCAGGGGCGTCTGCCGTCGCACCGGCGGTCAGAGTTTCTTCCAGGCATCTCTTCGGGGGGGGGGCACTGCCCCCCCCCCCCCCCCGAAGAAAGTGTACCGCCCCCCCGGAACAAAATGAAATTTATATAGGAAATATATACTTTTGACAGTGTTCGCACCCCCCCGGAAATTGTTGTCCGCCCCCCCCCCCCCCGAAAATTTTAAGTGCAACCCCCGGAGAAAAAAGTCTGGAAGAAACACTTCCGGCGGTGGTGTGACCGGAACGCCTCGAGCTCCCCCCATGAGCGCCATACACTAACGATACTCTGGGCTACGGTAAAGGATGAATAAATCGAACCAGGTTTGGCATTCGGCGCCCCTGCGGTTGTGTTTATTTCCAATAGCTGATGACACCCTTACTGTAGCTAGGAATAGCTGATAACACAAACTGATACCCCGTATTGTAATTTTAACAGCGCCTCACACATAATCGGGGCTTAAAGCCCGTTTTAATTAGTTGTGTGGTTGAACAAGCACATTAATTAAATGCCTTCTTAAACCACAGCAACGTTCGACGGGGTCAGGGGGTGCTGAAAGCTAGTATTTTAATTAAGATATAATTAATACTTAAAAAAGGATCTAATTAATGAATGAATAGGATCTGTAGTATTTACAAGAAGAGTTTATAATGATATAAGTGATGATGTTACATATAAAGACAACATCAGGAGACGAAGAATGAACCATAAGGTAGAACACACAATACACAAAAATACGACTTTTTAAAATATTAATTATCATCACACGTTTTAGCAAAATATATAGTGAAAATACAAATGTGTTTTGTTCTAAAGATCTGTCTGTTACTAAGTATCAGCTATCTTTGAAATTTATTAATGACGTGAATTAAATTCCAATGTTTCAGTCAATAAATGTATGTGCTTTAGAAAACAATGAGTCAAACCTTCATATTTAGTGACCACCGAAACATGGGGCATTTCAAAATAGATTACAATTATGATTAATTATTATGAAATTCAAATAATATTACAAATAAAGCGTATATGGTTATAAAAAAAAGTAGCAATTTAAATATGATTCATTCGTAAAAGCACTCTATTCGTCAAGTTTTGCCAAAAAACAAAAACAAAACAAAGCGAAGCAGCTGTTACATTAATAAACACTAGTAAATAAAATAACGCTATGCATTTGTTTTCTTTTTTGGTTATCTCCCGTCCTATATTACACCACCCACCTTTTGTTATAGCATGTGTCAGTTAATGGTCTGTATGTCTGGACTCTATGTATGATAAACGCTCTGCCATCTCCGCCCCTTCCTGTTCAAATAGTTTCCTGTTCTTGTGTGATACTAGGCTGCGCTAGACGTCCGTAGCTGACACGTACATCTTAAATCACGCTCAATCGTCAGGCCCAGTTTAGTTAAATTTATGGCGGCATTGTTAGTGTTTAGGGTAGCGGAATGGAAACAATTTTTTCCCACGCAGTAGTTTAAACAATGGGATAAATGGGAGGGGCGGGGTAGTGGACATTTGTATGTGATTTAAGGAGGGATGGGATAGTGGACATTTGTAATCTTAGCGAGAGACGGGATAGTGGACATTTGTAATCTTAGCGAGAGACGGGATAGTGGACATTTGAAATATTAGGGAGAGACGGGATAGTGGACATTTGTAATCTTAGCGAGAGACGGGATAGTGGACATTTGTAATCTTAGCGAGAGACGGGATAGTGGACATTTGTAATCAGCGAGAGACGGGATAGTGGACATTTGAAATATTAGGGAGAGACGGGATAGTGGACATTTGTAATCTTAGCGAGAGACGGATAGTGGACATTTGAAAATATTAGGGAGAGACGGGATAGTGGACATTTGTAATCTTAGCGAGAGACGGGATAGTTGACATTTGTAATCTTAGCGAGAGACGGGATAGTGGACATTTGTAATCTTAGCGAGAGACGGGATAGTGGACATTTGTAATCTTAGCGAGAGACGGGAAAGTGGACATTTGTAATCTTAGCGAGAGACGGGATAGTGGACATTTGTAATCTTAGCGAGAGACGGGAAAGTGGACATTTGTAATCTTAGCGAGAGACGGGATAGTGGACATTTGTAATCTTAGCGAGAGACGGGAAAGTGGACATTTGTAATCTTAGTGAGAGACGGAATAGTGGGACATTTGAATATAATCCCGTTGCTTTTGTTTATTCAACTCAAACCTTGCATTAGACCGGCGTAATGAAACACCACATAATACCGCTTTAAACGACTTCAAGTATTTCATCTCATTACGATATCACAACTCTCCAATAACTCAGGTGCCTGCATTAAACCAACAAAAATACTGCCGTTATTTTCGTCAGCTTAATGATATAGCATGCGTTGAATTTATTTTATAGTTGTTACAACATTCCTCTTTTTACGGGTGAGTCAAGTATAACACGTTTTTGGTTACTGTATTATTGAAAGATAAAAAGTAAATTTGTTTGTCAGTTATAAAGTGTTTGTTTACTCGATGCCGCTGCTACGTGTGTCTGAAGGAAAATATATGGACGGCCTAAACGATCATGTAACTACCTGTAGCTGTTACAAAAAAAAAAGGTTTTTGTTTTGGAGTTTTGTTTTAGATTGTTTATGTTTCTTTCACAATCGTAAAACACGAGCATGCATTGCTTAGCCTTGAAAACTTTGCTACCCCCCCCTCCCAACTCTCTCTTTGTTTCACACTGTCAGCCAATGACACCCCCCCCCCCCTACTCGTCCTTGTACATTTGTGCTCTGTCAAGGTTGACCCCGAGCTTAAAATATTCAGGTGTTAATTTTTTCACTGATTTAATGGCTGGTTGATTGGGGGACGAACCATATAGGCTGCTATATTTGTGTGCATGTAAACCAACTTCCTATATCTTTAAATACTTAGTTGTCTGTCTTAAGTAGCTTTTATAAAATCGTTGCTTTTTTATACCTTTTAGGACGGTATAGGTTTGAGGTAGAAAATAAATACTCTAAACCCAATTTCTAGCGTTTAACTTCTGCCTTTATCATACCTTTATCTTCAACAAGCAACCTCGTAAATCTTTTCAAATATATTGCCTGATGTAGGGGACTCCATCCATTTAATTCTCTTGTCATTTACTTCAGTAGACTTTTGTGAGCCCATCCTTGTAAAGATTACATTACAGAAGTATTTCGCCCATACAATCATACAGCGGCCTAGCGGTAGAGCGCTTGACTGCTAACCCGTAAGTCTTGAGTTCGAATCCGGGTTCAAATCAATAGAACGTCTCTAAGTCCATCCAGCTGTGATGGGTACATATCTCACGTTAGGGAAACAAAGGCGGCTGGATAGTGCTGACCACATTATCCCCTTGTACGCCGAGGTATTTGAAAGTAATTAACTCTACTTCATCGACCCCATGTGTCTTGGGAAAAAAAAACGGAAAAGATGACGAATCATACAGAACTACACCAAAAACATATTACCCATCACAGCAACCTACATTTCTTGAAAATGTTACACTCTGTTCATTAGAACTGACATACTAGCTCCGCCACAGAATTTCAGTATCATCTTCTTCTGCGTTCTTAATTGTAGTATTAAGGGAATTCCATCCAACACAATTTATCACGTTTCAACATCTTATGTGCCAGAGATGCCGACTTACTTCAGTCTCCTATTTTTTTCGTTATTTTTTTCCATAGTTTTTATCAACCTAAGAACAATTTGAAAAGCAACAGTTATTTGATTTTTGGAGTTTACTGGATGGGTTGCCGTCCTCTGATAACGCAACTGATCTCAGCAGGTATCCCAATGTGAACTGATTTTTACCTTATACCTAGTATTCTGGTGTCACCCTCTCTGTTTTAACATTAGCCCCTGCATTGTTGAACGACCTAGCTGTTTTTACCTTGCTTCCCCCCCCCCCCCCCAATTAATTTAATTGTCACCATCGTTTTATAATGGTGATTGTTTATTGGTGTCCCGTTACCCCATCACGTGACTGTATGCTTGATAACAAACTACATCTGAAAGGGCTGTTACTGAAATCACAACATACCACATCCGATAGGGCTGTTACTGTAACCACACATACCACATCTGATAGGGCTGTTACGAAATCGTATAGAAATAATTTTAAAACCAAGTTCAGCTTTCAGATAGACGTTTACTTTCCGAGTTACAGATATTTGAACATTATTGTTAAACTACATTTTATGTTGAATCATCAGACACTTGATTAAATCATTTCCTTCACGAATTTTGTATTCGTTCTACCGACTCACTAGATCAGACAGAAAAGTAATTTAAAAGATGGTATATAGTGTCATTGATTACTGTAGTGTCTACTGTTACTTTCTTATGTATCCTAACAAAAGACCGACATGGAAAAAGACCGACATGGAAAAAAGACCGTCCCGGACGAAAGTCTGACTTCTCTTTTCATAATCATTTATTATTATTGTAGTTCTGTTTGTCCAATAGGTAATGAAATTATTTCCATATAGAGTTGAAGTTTGATACGGCAGGTGACATAGTATAAATGCTGGGTGCAAGTAAGGACGTTCTACAGATTCAATGCAGATAAATGAACCGGAGATTCTTGGGAGAGAAATGGAACCCTTAACCTGTCGACCACGATAGTTCGCTCTCTCTTTACTTAAAATTCTCGAATGAAAGGAATAAAAGGTTTGTGAAGAATTCTTAATCAATAAATGCTTAAAAATATTGCGTGCATTAGCAACAATAAAAGAATTATATCGTCTCTAATACAATTCAACCTAAAAAAAAAAGCGTCATTGTTCATGGCTAACCGGATGATTTGATTAAAGATTGGCTGAGAGAAATGTTTTCTTTGACAAACGCTTCAAATGAACATTTCTATTAAAAAAAAAACTGATAGAATGATCCGACAAGCTAAAAAAATGCCTGGTATGAATAAAGTACTGTACATATCGTTATATTTAATGATTACACATTTTAATTAAACGTTATAAAAATTAAACTAATTAAACTAAAAAAATGGCGATATGCCATTGTAAATATGCATGGCTCAAGTGCATTCATTCAATGTACGCATGTTATATGACACCGTGGACAGCTATTGTTGCTTCATGGGAGACGTGACAGTCAAATATCTGTCTCTGTTGATGAATTAAGGCATGTTAATTATCCCCTCCCCTCCCCCAATGGGTTTAATGTGCTTGATGCTACGCTCTGTTAACCACCCCATATGCCAGGTCCGACCTCGTTAGCTAATTAAAATACCGTTTACACAGCTTCGTATTCGATAATAAATGCAAAACACAATGGCCACCGCGTGGAATGTAATTTGTGTAATTTGAACACTTTAATATAAAACGTTAATAATTACACGTTAGAGAATGTTTAAGAAATATATTTGAATGAATAACTAAACATACAACTAAAACAAACGTGTGGAATAAAAAACTAAGTTCAAAAAAAGTTTGAAAAAAATAAAAAAAAGTTTACAATAACAAGTTTCATATCTGCGCTTAAAATAAAAGTATAAAATGATTATATATGTATATATATATATATATATATATATATATATATATATATATATATATATATATATATATATATATATATATATATATATATATATAACGGCATATTTGCATAGATCTAAAATAAAAGGTCGTGTCTCTACGTACATAATCAGATAACTCATCACTTATTTAATAACATAACAACACCGTTTTTGTAGCAATTAATAGTTGCTCATTAAACCCTCTCGGTCGAACGAACTAATTTATTGTACAAATATATTTACATATTGTGATCAATTTCTGAGGCTACGTCTAAAATCGATAGCAAATGTATTCAATTCCACTGTGTAAGCACGAATCCCGAGAGCATTAAATATACATTACATTTATCTGAATCTTCTAGAGTTGGACAATGGTGATAGATCTTCTTATAGCTAGCTACCTGCTGAGTTAATTAAAAGCCCCCATGTTTGCTTATGCCTACCTGTCGGAAAATTCTAGAACAATTTTCCTGCTGTAATAGTAGGAAGATTTGACAGTAAAACACGACGTTTGTTAATAGAGTGTTTAGCTTTTGAAGCGTTACTTGTTTGCACAAGAATTAAAATGTTAAACGTTTAGTTTTATTAAAAGACTAATTTTGAAATAAAAACTTTTGTGTCCAAACTCAAATCGGAGTTATCTTTAAGGTTTTCTTCTATATTAATGTTGCTCAAAAACTCATCCCCTTTGCATTGCTAAATTAAGCTAACTGTTAACATAAATCACAATGCAAATTTTAAGGCCATATATTCCGCAATATGGAGTCCATATATTTGCCTGAGTGACTGTAGAATTAACTAGCTATTACACAAATATGTAAAAAAAATATTCCAGACGACCTTAGATTAGCAGGCGCATAGATCTTGGCATTAAGCACCTAGTTCGCTGTTTTAAGCTTTCAGTTGAAATGACAGCCACCTATATAGTAAACCTCTACCTGTGGAAGCACAGCCACCTATATAGTAAACCTCTACCTGTGGAAGCACAGCCACCTATATAGTAAACCTCTACCTGTGGAAGGCAGTGCTGGCTCTGTTTCTTCCAGACTTTTTTCTCGTGGGGGCACTTAATATTTTCGGGGTGGGGGGGGGGGGCGGTCAACATTTTCCGGGGGGGGGGGGCGGACACTGGTAAAAGTATACGTTTTCTATATAAATTCCATTTCGTTCGGGGGGGGGGGCGGTGGACTTTCTTCGGGGAAGGGGGGGGGGGGGGGATCCGCCTGGAAGTAAAAACTGCTGGCTCTATGGTAAATGGCTTTGTCAAAAAGAAAAAAAACATTGGTTGCCTGTATGTTTAGTAATCTTGTTGTATGACGCAAAAGAGAGAATTTTATAGTATTGTAGAACTCCTATACAAAAGCTTAGAATAACTCAATGATGTCTTTACGTATAAGCTTTAATTTGAGGTTTTCAATTGTATCGTCAGTCAGAAACAGTATTCAAGTTATAGGCTTTTGAAAAATGGAAAGAGTTACTCTTCCGGTTACCGGAAATAGCTGAAAAGTCCATACATAGTTACACAATTGAAGAAATACTTATATTTAAAATTTCATCAAGCTAGCTGTAACGGTACTTAAGTTATCATTTTCACAGACACACACTCACACAGTCATATGGACCAAATTGCAAAAATAAGTTTTTCCGACTCAGCGATTTCGATATTTTGCCTGATTATAATACTTCCTCTATACTTCGTACACGAGAAAGTAAAAATAATGACTTGACCTGTAAAGATAAAATTTGTTTTGTAGGAGGGCTAGTGCGTGTGTTAGACCGACCGTTCACTATACTCTAGTATTGTAGTTCATAAATGCTTCTAGTTCGGAGACGACGGAGTATTAAAAAAATAAAACGTAGGTAGTTCACTTTCTCAGAAATGTTCAAACTATCTTAAACAGCGGTGTTGGTAGAACGTTTATTTGACCAAGTGTAAATCGGACAGAATTTATGCATTAGAAATTACCTTAGTCTAAGCTTACTGGGGTTAGAGGTTATGCTAAACTTTGTTATTTTGGGTAGACTTACAAACGATGTTTTAGTGTTGAGCTAAGATTCTAATATTCTTGGCGTTCTATTTATTAATCTATAATTTTAATACTTTAAGATAGTGAAAAATACTGTCTTATCATCCGCTGTCTAGATCTAGTTCTAGGAGACCAAAATTACACTTGTTATATAGGTCTGCTAAGCAAGATGTCTATAAAATAGAAAGTGAACTTGGGTTACCCCAAAAAATATTAAGCCCCATAAAGTATTGAGCTGGGCATTAACTGCAAGTAATGAAACACGAAACAGCCCCGCAGTAAATTTGATAAATCTCTTCAGTGTCTGGTCTCTAGGCCACTACCGGGGGAGTGCAAATCTCGTCTAATTCCCCTGAGTGTAACACTCTACTCCATCTGTTAAACACTGGGTTTGGTGGCTTCACGTGCTTGTTGGCTCACGTCCGCCTGTCACCCCCAGAAAGGAAACAATCCCCTGGCTTTGGTTCTACGTGAGTAGACATCAAATGACCGGTGTATGACAGATCTAGTCATCGGATGAGTTCGTGTCGGCACTATACAAGAGTCATCGGTCTTTGTTTCCGAGGGTCAGATCGTAATTTGTATGATGGTATTGCAGACAAAGAGGGGTCCTTTAGTCTATCATAGTCGTGTTGTACGATAATACGATATCCCTATTAAACACGAAGGACAAATATTGGTATACACGGACAAATATCGTGATACACGGACAAATATTGGTATACGTATAAATATTGGTATACACGGACAAATATTGGTATACGTATAAATATTGGTATACACGGACAAATATTGGTATACGTACAAATATTGGTATACACGGACAAATATTGGTATACACGGACAAATATTGGTATACACGAACACATATTCGGATGCACGATACAGACGAATATTGTGGTGCATCACTGACATAAACAAATCAAATTTCATCAAATACTTACACATGCAATGCAAACTTGAAATTGAGTAAAACTAAAACTAAAAAGTGAAGTTCCCTTTCGGTTCATGGCACACGTGACGTCTAGTTCATTGTGTCTGTGAACTCGACTTAATGAAACTTAAATACGCGCCGAAAAATAAATTTCTGAAAAACCGATTGCTGTCTTCCACTTCATTACATTTTTTTTTACATTCGTTTTATTTATTTATACTCTAAAACTAGACAGCATGAAGATTTGTTGAGTTAAATTATCAATGTTCCAATATATTCTATAGAGCTAAAAACTAAAGTTAAAAGAAAATATTAAAAGTAAAAAAGCAGGCAACTTAAAAAAAAAAAATTAAAGTAAAAAAAAAATCAATGATCGCTTCAACTCCTGAGGTCACGTTTTCAATCAGAAACGATCCGGCGTTCTGCGTAGCATAAAATATTGTTAGCATTTCGATATAGATTTATTTGAAGTATATTTCCGTTCTGTCGGGTTGTGTATTTTTCGTTTCTAAAGAAAATGTGTGCCCATAAAGATGCCGCTATAATAAAATAGAATCTTCTTGTGAATGAAGGAAAGACAGAAAATGTCGTTGTGTTGTTAAAAGTGGTGATGTTTAAAGTGGTGATGTTTAAAGTGGTGATGTTAAAAGTGGTGATGTTAAAAGTGGTGATGTTTAAAGTGGTGATGTTTAAACTGGCGATGTTAAAAGTGGTGATGTTAAAAGTGGTGATGTTAAAAGTGGTGATGTTTAAAGTGGCGATGTTAAAAGTGGTGATGTTAAAAGTGGTGATGTTTAAAGTGGTGATGTTTAAAGTGGTGATGTTTAAAGTGGTGATGTTAAAAGTGGTGATGTTTAAACTGGTGATGTTTAAAGTGGTGATGTTTAAACTGGTGATGTTTAAAGTGGTGATGTTAAAAGTGGTGATGTTAAAAGTGGTGATATTTAAAGTTTTGATGTTTAAAGTGGTGATGTTTAAAGTGGTGATGTTTAAAGTGGCGATGTTAAAAGTGGTGATGTTAAAAGTGGTGATGTTTAAAGCGGTGATGTTTAAAGTGGTGATGTTTAAAGCTGTGATGTTTAAAGTGGTGATGTTTAAAGTGGTGATGTTTTAACCAGCTTAGCTCTGACCTGATGAGATTAACCTGTCCTAGTGTTGGTTTTTAGCTTAA